AAGAGCGAAACTCCGTCTCAAAAAAAAAAAAAAAATATTTAGATTGCCACCCACTGTAGAGTCCTTTTGCTATGGGGCCTGCCTTGGAGTTCATTTCTGCTTTCAATCTTACCCAACTCTCCCAGTCTAAGCACCCCTCTTCAGTGAGAGCATGAAAGCTCAGAAAGTCATATGCACTTTGTTACTTGCTTTTAAATACTCATAAAATATTTTTTCTTTTTTTGTTTTTGAGTTGGAGTCTCACTCTGTTGCCCAGGCTGGAGAGCAGTGGCACAATCTCAGCTCACTGTAGCCTCCGCCTCCCAGGTCCCAGAGAGTCTCCTGCCTCAGCCTCCTGAATAGCTGGGATTACAGGTGTGCACCACCTTGCTTGGCTAATCTTTGTATTTTTGGTAGATTCAGGGTTTCACCATGTTGGCCAGGGTGGTCTTGAACTCCTGACTTCAGGTGATCTACCCACCTTGGCCTCCCAAAGGCCAGAGGAGCCACTGTCCCCAGCCAAAAAACTTATTTTCTATTAACACATAAACACACACAGAGATACCATTTAGGTTCCTACTGCCTAAATTTTCAAATATTGTGAAACAATTTTAATCAGGAAAGTCTTGTAAACTGTTATGGTTAGACTAGCAGTAAATCTCACATAACATTTTAAAATTCAGTGAGTTAGTGGTTACTGTTTAATCCTTGACAATATTTTACAGAATTCAGAGCTCTGCGAAACACATTATGAAAATTATTATGGCGCTACTGAAAAAACTTACCTGATGAAATCTTTTCAGATGGAGAATTAGGACAACTGGAATAGCAGAAATGAGCAGTTGCTTTCTGGCATTAGTATAAACTCCTTCTACTTTCTTTTCTACATAAAATACAATAAATTTATAAAATTACATTATCTACCATATAATAAACATTTATATAGAAGCATCATACCACATTTTTTTTCTTTTGTTCCTGCTTTCACCATGTGACCACAGTTTTTAAAATGTTAAAGAAATTGGACTTCTGATGAAAGGGCAGTCTTGACTCCTTCCCAAAACTCTACTAAAATGAAAGTAAAGGAATATTTTTTAAGGCACACAGTTAATAAGAACAAAGAATAGGAGAGGTAACACTTGCAACAAAATTTGGAAGGTGGAAAGCAGATGGACTAGAAGTAATTTGGGTCAATGCCCTCCAGCCAAAAACCATCAGAAGCATGGGTGTAGTTGAAGAATTTGGGTTTAGAAAAGATTTCTAAGTTTCTTTTTTTATTTTCTTTTTTTGTTACAGGGTTTTGCTGTTATCCAGGCTGAAGTGCAAGGCAGTGGTCATGGCTCACTGCAGCCTTGACCTCCCAGGCACAAGCAATCCTCCCACCTCAGCCTCTCAAGTAGCTGAGACTACAGGTGCACACTACCCCACCTGGCTAATTTTTTAAAATAATTTTTGTAGAGATGGGCTCTCACTATATTCCTCAGATTGGTCTTGAACTGGCCACAAGCAATCCTTCTGCCTTGGCCCCCCACAAAGTGTTGGGATTACAGGCAGGAGCCACTGTTCCCAGTCCCAATTTCTAAATGCCTAAGATTTAGGATAGTATTTGAACATGGCCATTTGTATTTGAGCATGATAATATTTGAACATGGCCAACTGCATATTTAGCTTGGATTAATGTAAGTAGGTATTTATTCCTACTCCCATCTAGTTATTTCTTTATTACTAGCATATTCAGTATGTCTTTATTCTGATGCTTTGACATCTAGGGTCTTGTTAACATTGGAGGGACAACTCCTCCCAGGGCCAATTCCTAGAGATAGTAAACAACTTAAGTATGCCTTTCATATGCAAACCAATCCAGAGCCCAGAGTCCACACCCCAACAACTTTCTGCACTGGGCTTTTACACTCTGGGCCAGGATCCACCTGGTTTAATCACTCTAGGAACACATACCAGATAACTAGAGACAGCTCCTATATCCCAGAGCCCACTAAAATTATTCAAACTAAACAATCCTAAGCCTGCTTACCCTGCCTTATCCATTCCTTCCTTCAGAAATCACACCAAAGGCTCTTACCCATGTTTTCCCCTCACTCTCCCACCTGCTGACTGACACTGGTGCTTCCCTATGTGGTCCTGTGCAGGATGGTGGGCCCCCACTTCCTGGGAACTGTAAGTAACACACTATTTTTTCAATGGCAATTATCTCCTGATCTGTTAGCCTCACCATACCTGAATAATAAAGCCTACATTTTAAAACAAGTAGTCACTAAGAATCAGAGTATTCTTTCCATTTTTAAGGATAAAGATGAACTGAAAATTTATTTTCCATCTTTTCCCCCTTTTCTCTGACCAACTAATCATGGTAATTTCAGTGCTAGCTTCAAGACATGCGACTATTTAAGATCTTCGAAATGTGTCTGTTGAGTTTACAAGAGATTCATAGGATCTGTGAAACACATTAGCCTCATCATTAATCTCACTAGTGATACGATTAAAAGTTTTAGGGATATTTCTTCTGGATAGATTTCAGATAGCTAGTTCCCTCAAATAAGATTATATGGGTTTGCATTTTCAAGGCAGAGCTGTATATTTCCTGCTCTTCCATTTATTTCAACAAAACAATCTATTGAAAATCTGTTCTGCCCAGTGAGTATTGTTAAGTGCTTAGGTACAAATATGAGTAAAACAATCTCTGTGCCTAAGTAGCACAAGTATAGAGGCAATATTCTCAGGTTCCTCTATTTGAAATTTGTAATTCACTAGACTCTATCAGGAGATCAATAACTATTTAATTAGAAAACAGTTACCTGCTAAACTGGTTTCCTCTTGGTACTTCTGTTTGTTTTCAGTACAATTCTCACATAGAAGCTTATTATTCCCTATGAGCAATTCCATAGATGTAAACTGGTAGAGACAGGACTGAACTGAACATTCTTTAGAAGCAGTTATATAGCTCTGAGAAAGGGTCTGAAAAGCATTTTGGGGACTTTGGAACCTCAAATGCTTCCCCTCTGAAAAACATAAATTATTTGAAAAAGTTAGTGGCTGATTTTCTCTGCCAAAATCTTGATCTCCAGTTACAGTGCTGCTCAAACAAAGTTCAGAAATAGCTTCAGACATTTCCTTATCACCACTGTCAGTCTCCTTGGTGTACAGCATTTCACCTGCTGATGGAGGGCAAAGGGGTCCATCTGTGTGCACGCCGGATCCCCTACTGGATCTGAACAGCCCTGGCTGCTTTGAAGCACTTTCAGATTCTGAAGCCTCACTGTCGGCATCAACATTGCTTTCAGAATGGCTGGCTTCTTTTTCACTGTCATCAGTAGGGCTTTCATTCAGAGTTGACTCAGAATTCATGAGGCTTGCAAACATGAAAGAATCCTCATTCATTTCAAGGTTTTCATTTTTCTGGTATATGACAACAGTTTCTCCAGACGACAATTTTTTAATACGTTTTCGGTCATGAATTAGTTGATTCTGTAAGTTGACAGTGTTTTCAAAGAAAAGAATCTTGTAACTTTATTGAAAATAAATGCCAAAAAGTCTCATTTAAACATACCATAGTTATTAAATACCATTTCTCTCAGATCCATTTCCTAAGCCTACTGAAACTAAGATAAATAGAAGATATACTAAAAAATGTTCTATTTTAAAAGTAAATCTTCACACAAGAAACTAACAACAGTGTAACAGTGGCTATCTCTTTGTGGGGAAGGAATTAGGACTTTTGTAGAACAGGGCTATGAAGGAAACTTTCTTCTTAAAAAAAAAAAAAAAAAAATCTCTTTTAGAAACAGGGTCCTGCTCTGTTGCCCAGACTGGAGTGCAGTGCACAATCACAGCTCGCTGCAGCCTCAAACTCTTGGCCTCAAGTGATCTTCCCATCTCAGCGTCCCATGTAGCTACTACTACAAGCATACACCACCACACCTGGCTAATTTTTAAAATTTTTTGTAGAGACAAGACTATGTTGCCTAGGCTGGTCTTGAATTCCTGGCCTCAAGCGATCCTCCCACCTTGGCCTCCCAAAGGAGACTTTCAGTTACTGTATAAGCCTTTCCGTACTTGTTCATTTTAAACACTAAAAATCTACAATCTGTTTTTTATACCAATTAAAAAGTAATAAAAGTAAACTATAAACTATTACAACACAGTGTTGCTTGGTTGCCAAAAATTTTGTATGGAACCAAAAAGAGCCAGAAGAAAATTACAGAATTAAAATAATCTAAGTTTGGGAAAGGGGGAATCAACTAATTTAATTAAAGATTTTAAGCTACTAGAAACGTTTCACTAACGTTTCCACACAGCTGAAGGCTTGAATTACATTTTTCTTTCCCTATAGGCTGCCTTAAGGGTCAAGACAAAAAAAAAAAGATTATCATGAGTAATTCATAATCACTTTTAGTTATTCAGGGGAAGAAGGGTAAGTTATAAGAAGTGTCTTGCCTCAATTTTTATCTTCAAAATCAGGAAAAATAACATTATCTCCTGTGTATACCAATTATTCTGAACTCACTGAATGAAAATAAAGTATTTATTTTCACCATGTATTTGGTATACTAGAGAGCATATGATGAGTAATAAAGCTTATGGTAACAGCCAACAAGTTCTACTCTGCTAAATTTATATAGTACTTTTTTTGGAAAAAAAAACCCTTTCCTGTTATATATATATAATACTAATGGTTAAGAAGTTCTAGCCAAAGCAATCAGGCAAAAGGAGGAAATAAAAGGCATCCAAATTGAAAAAGAAGTCAAATTGTTCCTCTTCACAGACAACATAATCTTACATACAGGAAAACCTAAAGACTTTAACAAAAAACTCTTAGAACTGATAAACAAATTGAGTTAAGTTGCTGGATATAAAATCAACATACAATAATCAGCAGTGTTGCTATACACTAACAACAAACTAGCTGGGAAAAAAAATCAACAAGGCAATCCCATTTATAATAGCTACAAAAGAAAAAAAAAATCCCACCTAGGAATAATTTAGCTAAGGAGGTGAAGGACCTCCATCAGGAAAATTATAAAATACTGATGAAAGAAACTGAAGGAGACACAAACAAAAAAGCATCCCATGCTCATGAATCAGGAAAATACTGTTAAAATGACTAGATTTAATGAAATTCCTATCAAAATTCCAGTAATGTTTTTCACATAGAAAAAATCCTAAAATTTGTATGAAATCTGTCTGGGCGCAGTGGCTCACACCCGTAATCCCACCACTTTGGAAGGCCAAGATGGGTGGATCACCTGAGACCAGGAGTTCAAGATCAGCCTGGCCAACATGGTGAAACCCCATCTCTACTAAAAATATAAAAAATTAGCCAGGCGTGATAGTGGGCACCTGTAATCCCAGCAACTTGGGAGGCTAAGGCAGGAGAATCATTTGAACCTAGGAGGCAGAGGCTGCAGTGAGCTGAGATTGCACCACTACACTCCAGCCTGGGCAACAAGAGTGAAACTCCATCTAAAAAAAAATTTTGTATGGAACCAAAAAGAGCCAGAATCACCAAAGCAATCCTGGGCAAAAGAACAAAGCTGGAAGCCTCACAGTAACTGAGTTCAAAATATACTACAAGGCTACAGTAACCAAAACAGTATGGTACGGGTATAAAAACATACACATAGACCAATGCAACAGAATAGAGAAATAAATCCACATACTTACAGCCAACTGATTTCTGACAAAGGGGCAAAGAACAAACATTGGGGAAAGAACACCCTTTTCAACAAATGGTCTGGGAAAGCTGGTTATCCTTATACAGAAGAATAAAACTAGAACCTTGTCTCTCACCACATACAAAAATCAACTCAAGATAGACTAAATACTTAAATGTAAGATTTAAAACTATAAAACTACAAGAAGAAAACATAGGAGAAACACTCAGGACATTGGCCTAGGTAATGATTTTATGGAGACCTCAAAAGCAGAGGCAACAAAAACAAATGGGACTACATTGAACTAAAAAGCTTCTGCACAGAAAAGCAAACAAACAACAGTGAAGAGATCCCCTGTTGAATGGGAGAAAATATTTGCAAACTCTTCATCCTATAAGGAACAAATGTCTGGAATACACAAGGAATGCAAACAACTCAACAGCAAAAACAAAACAAAAAGAATCCCACTAAAATATGGACAAAATATCTAGACATTTCTCAAAAGAAGACATCCAAATGGCCAAGAGGTATATGAAAATAATGTTCAACATCCCTAATCATCAGGGAAATGCAAATCAAAACCATAATGAAATATCATTTTACCCCAGTTAGAACGGTTATTATCAAAAAAGACAATAAGATGCCTTCAAGAACATGGAGAAAAGGAGTCTGGCACATTGTTGGTGGGAATATTTAGTACAGCCATCATTGAAAACAGTATGGAGCTTTCTCAAAAAAAAAAAAAAAACTAACTAAAATGGGGCAGGGTATGGTGGCTCATACCTGTAATCCCAGCACTTTGGGAGACGGAGGTGGGTGGATCACATGAGGTTAGGAGTTCAAGACCAGTCTGGCCAACATGGTGAAACCCTGTCTCTAATAACAATACAAAAATTAGCTGGGCATGGTGGCGAACACACCTGTGGTCCCAGCTACTCGGGAGGCGGAGGCTGGGGCATGAGAATCACATGAACCTGGGAGGCAGAGGTTGCAGTGAGCTGAGACTGTGCCATTGCCCTCCAGCCTGGGCGACAGAGCGAGACTCTGTCTCAAAACCAAAAAAACAAAAAACAACTGAAATAGAACTACCATAAGATCCAGCAGTCCTACTTTGCATAAATACTAGGCATTTATACAAGAAAATCAGTATATCAAAGGGATACCTGCACCCCCATGTTTACTGCAGCACTAATAGCCAAGATATGAAATCAATCTAAGTGTCCACCAGTAGATGAATGGATAAAGAAACATAGTATATATCCATAATGGAGTACTCTTCAGCCCTAAAAAGAACCTAGACACAGAAAGGCAAATATCCCATGTTCTCATATGTGAGAGCAAAAAAAAATATGTTGATCTCATGAAAGTAGAGTAGAATGATAGACACCAGAGGCTTAGAAGACAGTGTGTGGGGGTGTAGTGGAGGAGATCATGTTAGTGAGTACAAAGACAGAGTTAGATAGAAGGAATAGTTCTAATGTATATATACTATATAGTACGATAACTATAGTTAACAATAGATTATGTGTGTCTAGATAGCTAAAAGAGAAAATTTGAAATGTTCTCAATACAAAGAAATGACAAATGCTTAAGGTAATTGATATCCCAAATACCAACTTGATCACTACACATTCTTTTTTTTTTTTT